ACTGTGTTTATATATAATCTAGAGTTCCTTGGCACAACTGACTCCCTCTGTCTGAACACCTGGTACCAACTTCTGTTTGCACTAGGGCATTCTTAGAAGCTGTATCTCCTGTTGATCAATATTTTCAGTGAAAATGTTATCTGAAGAAAATGAATGTGGGGTGGGGGAGTTTGTTTTCCTTGTGTGACAGTCTTGCTTCAAATTCCCAGCCCCTTCATGCTGCTGCATTCCCCTCTCTGGCAGCTAATCGCTTGTAGAGATCTTTGGCTCTGCAAAGAGGAAATATTGAAATGTCTCTTCATTTTTGACACCACAGTCTAACAGCCAAGCGCATGTGTGTGCACATGTGTATGCATGTCCCCTGCTCCAGTAGCTACTGAAACTCCTGCCTAATTTCTCTTGATTTTGACAGAGGAAAGATAACATTTCCAAAATATTCATTAGAAAATTGTCAGACAAGACCAGGGTTCCAATACCTGTGTCTTCAGCAGCTTCTAGTTCCCTGGATGGGCAGCAGAGACTCTGTGCAAGTGCAGTGTGGAGCTGTTAGATGCTGCAGGGGGAAGGGTGTCAGGAAAGGAGGAGAAGCATTCCTCTGCCCTGGTGCACAAGTGCCCAGAAACATCTGTGTGGTGCTGATTAAGCACCCTCCCTACAACGGAGTCTGTTTGTGGATTATTTTTCTTTTCAACCTCCCTTCCCCAGGGGACGGGGGAGGAGATGAGCTTGAGTGTACAGCTTGGGAAGAGATACTGCAGTGAAGAAGTTTATTCTTTGTCGTAAATACTGATAGTCTCTTAAACCATGCTTTGAGGTTGTTGCATGTGGTTTGTTCAGGATTTTTAGCTTGGTTTTTAAGAAAACTATTTAATGTTCTCATTGCTTTACTACATAGAAGGTACTGGCAGGGTGGGTAATGGCAATGGTTAGAAAACTGTATTTAGTTAAGCAGTTGGAGGGGAGGGATCACTTATGTAAGTCATCTGGTTTTTAAACCATGATAATTCACTTAGTCTTACAAGAACGTTTGAAGTTTAAGCACCATCCTCTTACTTTCTGTATTCCAATATATGCTTAAAACCAGCAAAGCCTCAAAATCAAATGAGCCTCAAAGTGTATTGTGTTGGCACAGCAGCTTTCCTTTCCTTGCTATGGAAGTGGAGTTCCTTAATTCAGCTGAAAGCGTTTTTCATCTCAATGAGATAACAGTCAAAAACAACTAAAAAAAAAAAATCTATGTTGTAGGAGTGACTTGCAATCATCCCACAAATAACAGGGAAGACTTTCTTTCACAATGAAATTTGTGCCACCTCCCTTGTTGATGAGATGATATGACAAAGCTGGTGTGTGGTGTCTAACAGAAGCTGTTGTTCTGTTCCCTGCCCTTCATGTAGGCATCTGCCAACTCAAAATGCGCTCGGCTCTGGGTGGACAAAGCTTTTTTTGTTTTAAGAGGAACCTTGCTATCTTGGACTGAGAGCTCTGGGTGGACAAAGCTTTTTTCTTTTAAGAGGAACCTTGCTATCTTGGACTGAGAAGAAACTTTTGAGCACCAAAATGCAGATGCTTCTGAGCATTTGAAATGTGTCTACTATAGTTTTTTTGATATGTGGGCAAACAATTGGTGCATTTGACTGTTTTGAATGTCTTTCATTACTATACTGCTATGCTAGGATAGGTCTTGTTTAAGAAACTCTTTCACTTTTGCGCTAAAGTCTTGATGCAAAGTGATAAGAGAAGTCAAGAAAGCAAGTCTTATTAGCCAGAATGCTTTATGTTTTACTTCTGTTCCTGTTTTTTTGGTTTTTTTTACCCTACACACCTGAAAGAAGGAAATGTGAGTGGAAAAGACCTTTTTAAAAACTTGCTTTGAAAATGATGGATTAGATTTCCAAGTAATCTTACAGTTCTGTAGCTTGGTGTTAGAGAGGAGCAAATATGACAATGAGCAGAAGAGATACCATAGTAAACTCTGTTTAAAGTTATGTGAAAAAGGACAGTATATGCAACTTAAATCAGACTTCCTTTATGAACATGAGGTTTTTATCTGATCATTTAACAGCCTGTCTTTCCAGGACAGAACACTTCCTGCTCTCTATTGGCAGGAGAGCTTATCCTTGCTATCATCTTCCAAAATCCTTCAGATCGAAGAAGATACGGATTATGAGACTCTGTTTTGTCTCTTGGTTATCTACAATGGTGCACTTTTACCAGATTCTAAAAATGCTTCTGCGTAACAGCACAAAACTTGGGTTGTAACTTCTCATAGGCAAGATTTAGATGAGGTGCCATTTGTGAATTTTGTCAGTGGTAAGATGTTTATTCTACTTTGGGATTTACTTGTTCAGAAAGCATGTGTTATCCTCCTATTTCTGGACCTTCTAGTTGATGGTTTGCTGCTTCTCCTTCCCCAAACCTCCTTAGAGGTTAAAGATGATGTTAATTAAAGAGGACAGGACTCCAGTTTCTTCCACATGCAAAAGTGTATCTATCTGTCAAACATACGTAATGCATGAGTATATTAAATATATATATATTTATGTATGTCCTTATTATGGGGCGTCATGTCCCCAGATACTTTCTGGAGTGACCTCACACTCCTGTGGGTGGCAGTAGTTAAGAGGCCAAGGCAGAACAGCTGATGATTCCAGCAGCAAAATGGGTTAAATCTTCCCCCGAGAAATGACTTAACCATCAAGGATAACGTGAAAGCTTGTTGCTCGAGCAGGAAGCCAGTTAGAAATCTGTTTGGTGGTGATTGACTTAACTCCAGCATGAAGATTTAAATCTTGACAAGAACAGTCCAGCGTTTCCCTATGGAGCCTCTCAAGTTGAAGATATGGGGAATATTATTTTAAGGCTAATATCTGAACCATACAGTAAGTGGTCATGATGTATGAGTTTTCTCTGTTGCTTGCTTCTTTTTTCCTGCCTGTCCTGTATGTTGAGAGAAATGAAAATAACTTTCGCTGTATTTCATAGATCACCGATTTTCAGATCCAGAAAGAGTGAACTACAAATTTGAAAGTGGACCTTGGTAAGTTTCTTCTCCCTCTTCTTGCTGCCACCCCTCCTCCCTCTTTTTTAAAAGATACTGCTTAGATAAGATGTACTTCTCTGTATTCCTAACTTGCAAATAGCTGTTACCATTTATCTTGCCAGTGCTGTGGGAATCAGTTAGATGCTCTAGGTGGGAAAGGGAATAGATATTCTATGATCAGATGCAAGCAAGTTTTCTTGCTAGGCTTTGGTGTTGCCTGTTAGCTGCTGGTAGTTCTGGGTTCTGCTAATAAGTGCAGATATATCTGCTTATAATGGGTATTGAGTGTGCTGTGCTATTAACAAAGAACGTAAGCATTTTTTCAGAAGTAATCCTATTGGTGCTAGCACACTCTTCTTGCAATTTGCTTCACAGTTACTGAATACACATCACGATTTATTCTTTTTTAACAGGGGAGAAGTATTTCCATAAAGATACTGTGCTACCAGTAAATTGCTTAAGTGATAATGATTGTCTTTTTCCCGAATATGTTTTAAACATAACACTTTATCTACTTTTGATGATTGTTTTGATGATTATTTTGTTGTTTGGTTGGGTTTTTTTAAATGTAATCATGTTTTTCTATGTACAAATACAGTCTTTACTCAGTGGTTTGCTGGATACTCCCTCTGCAGTATCACAAAAGCTGGTGTTAAACTGATCTTATTTATATTCCCATCTTGCATGAATACTCACTTCCCTCTTCCAGATTAAGGAACTCTCATAATGGTAAATGATGCCGGCACTTTTGAGCCAAAAGAAGCAAGAAAAGAATGCAACAATATTGGCAGAAAGTATCCAGTGAGATTAGCTCAGGGGTCATATTTTAGCATTGTTCTAAGCTTTTTCCCTTTCACTAACAAAATCCTGGGATGAGGTAGAAGATTCCCATCTTATTTGTGATAGTGAGAAGTACAGAATTAGGAGGCAAGAGGGAACAGTTTGGGACAGACACCTATGGAAAAGCCACCCGAGATATTAAAGTATGAGTGAGAAACCTAACTCTTCCATAACAAGACATACCACAGCCTTTTTCTGAGAGGGAGTCCTCTGCTGCTGAACAACCCTTCATCTGCTTAATCAGTCACATAATCTCTTCTGTTCAAAAACCTGTCCTTGCAGTAGTCAGAAAGGCAGCCTTGGGTAGCTGTGAGTGTTTTGTTGTACATGGCACTTAACAAATAAGAGAACAAGAGGCTGCGGTAATGACCAATTATACCTGGCTTTCTGTGGCTGAGCTATTCCCATGCTAAGCAGCCAGTGTAGCCTGTAGCTATATTAGTCTCTAGTAGCACAATGATGGCCTGAACAAGCAATGTTAAGGCTAAACTCTTTGGACAGGAGTCCTCTTGTGCTGAGTATAACCCTAAACAGGTTTGGTCTTGGCTTGTGACTGGCTCTTACACACTGTCACAGTACAAATAATGAGCACTAACCTCAGTTATGTCTAACTGCTCTGCTTCAATTTCTGCCTAGCTAAGATTAGAATACCAAGTCCTTAATCTTATACCAGTAACCTTGTTCAGACGATGGAGAAGCACAAACCATTGGTGTGTCAGGAGTGGGGAGTAAATTGGGAACATGACCGAAGAGATGAGAATTCAAGGAGCAAATGTGGTGAAGCAGGAAAGGGGAGCTGGGAAAGGGGTAGCCTAACAGAGCAGACATTCCCTGAGGAGAGACACATGCAGTGGCTTTGGATGAGGGTGGCACTTACTCCTCACTGCCCTGGCAGTGTCATCCAACAGACACGGAACTGTGACAGAGCCTGTCCCTGGAGTACAGGTGACAAGCAGGGAGGGTGGTGTGTGGCAGATACTACAGGCAGATGTCTGCTTTACTCCCTCTTTCTGTGCCTGCAGCAGCAAGATGGAACTCGTGGACGACAATGCTGTTATCCGAGCAAGAGGATTGCCGTGGCAGTCGTCTGACCAGGACATAGCGAGATTCTTCAAAGGCCTAAATATCGCCAAGTTAGTAGCTCAGAATTTACCTCTACATTCGTAGTGCTTCATCGGTGTCAGTCATGGATTTCTACCTCTCTTTTGATTTGAATCTTGCAGGGGAGGTGCTGCGCTCTGTCTCAATGCCCAGGGTAGGAGGAACGGGGAGGCTCTTGTGAGGTTTGTAAATGAAGAGCATAGAGATCTAGCACTACAAAGGCACAAGCATCACATGGGGAGCCGATACATTGAGGTGCGTGACACTGGCTTTGAGATCCTCTTCTTGACAGGAGTGCAAATAGCATGCCAATCACATGTTCTCTTTTCTTTCCTTAGGTATACAAGGCAACAGGTGAAGACTTCCTTAAAATTGCAGGAGGTAATTTTTAGGGGGTGAGAAGGGAGGATTTGTTCCATTAGTATATGTAACTAACTTCTGGCTGTAAACTGCTCCTGTTGGATACGGCCTTTCATGTTCATTCTTTATGTCGATGACTACGTACTCTGCTAGCAGCAGCCCGAGATGTTCCATGATTTATCTGTCCATCTTTCTCTTCCACGTTCTTGCCATTTTCAAGCAGCCTGTCAAATAAGGATTTGATCAGTCAGGGTGATCTTGCATGTGGGCTTAATTTGTTAGGTCATCTTCTTAACTGAAGGGACCTAAACATTATTGATTGCTGAAAAACAAAACCAGAGTAGTTTTTCAATGCAATATGATTGCTGTTGCTGTGGAGACTTGCACGTAAAAGCAAACAGATATCACAATGTAAATAACAAGGGATTTATGGAACTGATTTTCTTCAAATCAAATCTTTGCCTTAAACTAAAGGGGGAATTTAGGAGTAATGTCTATTTAAGGAGTATATTGAAATATTAGCAGCCTTGAAGTGAAAGGCTGTAAAACTTGCTCTACAAACCCTCCTGTGGTCTCTTTTCCTCCCCTTTGTGACTCCAAGCGTACAGAATTTGAGTTAAGATCCAATAAGCTGTAACGTATCTACAGTACTACCTTAAGGTCCTTGTTGGCTCCTGACAGAGATTTGTTTTGGGGATTGTAAATGACTAAATGGATGTCTGAGGTTGAGGTTTTAGAGTGGGAGAAGCTATTAACCTGTCAAATAAATAGCTAATTGATAGTCTTGGTAATAGTTGCACCATTCAAAGTAAAGACATTGCACACTGACACTGGGGGCAAAAGTGGTGCGTGTCTGGCACAACCAAACTTCTTTGCAGAATGAGCTAGCTGTAAGTGAAAGGACCACATTAAGATGTGAAGTTGGTTAGCAGCTAGCTTTGGTTAGGGTAGCATTTTGAGCATCAGTGTTCTCCTAGAGATACTGAAAGTAGAATTGGTGGACTTTGACAGTTTTATCAAGATAGGATGAAATTCCAGAGCTGTTTTCAACGTGCCCTTCCAACTTTCCTTCCCAGCACAATGGTCTGGCTACTTGGTTACCCAGTTACTATATTATGGCTTCAGAGCATGTTGAAGGTTATTTTTAAGTTAGAAAGGCAAGGTTCATGGTGGCACAGGTACCACTCGTGCAAGAGACTCACAGACTGTGCTTTCCTTGGGCTCTGAACATTGTAAGTACTTTCTATGTTCCCTTTGATAAAAGATTAATCTCTTCCAATTGATGGAGTAACATTATTAAACTTTATGGTATAGAACACTTCCCATTATTTCTAGTTTATCAAAGGGACATCTTTCCTGACTTTGGAGGCAAATATTGTTCCACCTGATCAAAAACTGTCTGTGGGGAGGAGGTGGTATGCCAGAGTTGCTCATGATTTTGTGTCGCTGCCTAGACTTAAGTGCTTCTGTACATCTTTTTGTTAAAGGTACTTCCAACGAGGTTGCACAGTTCTTGTCGAAAGAAAACCAAGTGATTGTCAGGATGCGAGGTCTTCCTTTCAACGTAACAACAGAAGAAGTGCTGACGTTCTTTGGCCAGCACTGCCCTGTAACAGGAGGAAAGGAGGGAGTCCTGTTTGTCACGTACCCTGACAGCAGGCCAACAGGGGATGCCTTTGTGTTGTTTGCTTGTGAGGAATATGCACAAAATGCACTGAAAAAGCATAAGGACTTGCTGGGGAAAAGGTACATTGAACTCTTCAGGAGCACTGCAGCGGAAGTTCAGCAATGTAAAGCTTACAAACATTGGCTTCTTGTAATCCAAACTCCTACTTTGGCATACAGCAGTGGAAGCAAATGCTGCTTGGCCATGTCTTGAAAGCTTCTCTTCTCTCAGTCTTGAATATATATATATATATAATATATA